ATTCAAGATAGTCATATTTACTTATTAATATTTGACTACTTGGTAATTGATACAACATTTATTTTATTGGTTGTGCGAGGCACAAAAAATTAAAAATGTATATTTTAAATCACAGCAATAATAATAAGACGATTTTAATACAAATAATAACTCACATACTTTCAAAACATCTTAACAAGTAACGACTAATACTCGAATTCATATTTAGATATCCGTAGATAACCAGTATTCACAAATTATATATAATATAATTTATAGTTTATTTACTATTAATTTCACTCAGATCTGATTTGAATGTTGTACGACATCTAGTGGTATATCGACATAGCTCTATTGTTAAATGATAAATCCACTAGAGTTCAAAATATGTTTGTCAAGCTTACTATTTTAAGCATCTATTTAGTAATAATAATGCAGTATAAGTAAATATTTGTATATTAAATTTTAATTAATGTTCTTTGACTCAATGAAAATTTAAGTTGAATAAAATGAATAACATATACTCAGTTATATCAGTTAATTTCAGTTAGGTACCTACCTAGTACCATTGATTATAGAATTATATAATTACTCTATAATCAATGCTAGTATCTATCTAATAAATAATTTATCTATCTCATATAAAAACCCGTTAAAATTCAATCGACGGCCTTCAGTAATTGAAAAAATTCGCAACCTACAATTTTGTGGTGTTTAAAAACCGAAGCTTGCTATCAGATTAAACATTTTTTTCATTATTTTTGTTAATTTCTGGTAACTTTATCACTCAAAACTTTTTGATAATTTAACGATTTTTAAGAAGTGTGCGTTGACCAGAACACATAATATCATAATATTTACGAAAATTGGCAGATCATTAATTATATTTTTATTATTTATTTACATCATCTTTATGACTATATCTTAACCATTACAAATACCTCCAAACATTAAAACATATCTAATGTAGTTTATACAAACTAGATGAGAATTGAAGGATGTATAGGTACCTACTATAAATAATTATCAAAAAAAAAGTTTTTAAAATAAAATATTAATTAACACTATTTTTTTTTATCTTTATAAGTTCAACTATATTTCGTAAAAATATAATAATATCATAATATAATAGAAATATCAGAATGTAAGTATTATATTGTAAAGCATATTGCATGTAACAATATTACCTATACATAAATATCTTTTTTTAAATAAAAATTTCTAAAATTATTGAAATTTCTTGACAACGCATTGTAACTTTCAGTAAATTTATTTTTTATCATTAATTACCATAAAGTTTATTAAGACATATGAAAAACTCTGGTAGAACCAACCAGGTGTGTGTAAATGTATCAAGCGATGTCGGTAAAACACTTAATGACCGAAACAATAAATAATATGAATGTATTTAATAAACTGAAATAAAATAAAATATAAAAAAATAAACATAGTAGTATAATAAAATGCATCACAAATCACCACATTACATGAATAAAATTTTCGGTGCATATAGAAAAACTTCCTAGACATTGGTACACTACCAGTCTAATTAATTAAAATAAAATATTAGCGATAGCACATCATCGAATTATCGTATCTATGAAAATCAAAAGTATTTTCTATAGAATATTATTTTTAAGAGTAGGTACTACACATACTCTTTGATTTTAGTTTTGTGATTGCTATATTTTACATCCGTACACTAAACATTAGTTTATAATAGAGCTTCAAAATATTTTTGCAAATGGTCCACGAGCCGACATTATATAATTTATTAAATTTGTATGATACAAAAATAACTATAAATTTAAGATACATAAATTTCATATTGAAACGAAGCGACGAGTATACTTAATTTGTTTCAATATGATCCGATAATACTTGTAATAATAAATGAGCATTATTATATTAATTACAGTTATGTCAATTCTTATGGACTGTGAACCTACTCATAGTATCGGATTTTTGGGTTAGTGATGCTAATTTTTTCACAAAATATATCAAACATTTAAACGATATTATTACATTTTTATATTGAACTATTTAAGCCATTTAACCAATAGACAATATCCTTAATAAAGTATTTTATCACAATAAACGTACAATTAATGTTAAAAATTAACAATAAAAATATTAGGTTGAAGTTTTGAAAAATCTATGATTCTTATTCACCAATTAAATAAATTCACAAAATTCAAATAAATTTAAAAATGCATGGTGTTCCAAATGAATAAACAATAAATTAAATTTTACTGTTTTTATTTTTTTACATTTTTTATAAGATTAACGCAATCCACTTGAAAACTAATATAAATTTAAAAAACTATATCTTTTTGATGTTCCAACATTTGTGTCTACATCCCTTATCTATTGATAGAATTGTTATATATTATGTACATTGAACATAGTACCTATACAGAATTCCTCAAACTTAAAAAAGTTTTTGAAGAATAAATGGATAAAAGACATTATCATAAAATCAATGTCTTATTTTCTCGTGACTTAAAAAAAATTCAATTATATGAAGCCGTTATAAATAATGTAAATGACATCGTCCCTTTTGCCCTTAAACAGATCCCTGAGTAAAGTTATCGATTTTGAAGTTTTATTTGCATTAATGTAAAAAAATGGTATATTGAAGATACAATAATTTAATGTTCAAAGAAAAATAATTATGTTATTTATGTTTTGATTAAAAGCTATGTTTTACACTTTAATTTATTCGGATCCATTTAATTAAATTCTTATTTTTTAATATTTTTTTTTCGCTCAGCTATGACAAAACTTATGTTAAATTAGTTATTGTATATATTTATGAAAATCTATATTAAAGCGTTAATATTTTAAATATATAAATGTTTAAAAACACGAATTTTATTTCTTTGGTTTAATTTTAGATAAGCCTAACATAGTTTTAATTGGTTTTAAAATTTAACGCTCAGATAATAAATAATGTAAAACTACGATGAACATGATAATTGTATTAATATTAATAAAGAAATTCAAATAATATAATAATGAAAAAAAAATAATAGCAATGGTTTTTTGAGTGACAAATCCTCTAATCTAACCGCTCGATAAATTATCACTCCAGTTATATTTCGAAAATATTACTACAAAACTTAATTTAAATAATTGTATGGATTAAACACAATTTATTTAATTATACGTTATAATGATTCATATTGAAAAAAGAAAATTAGTTGTCTTAGATATTTTAATCAAAGAATTAATTTGATCTCTTAATAAAGTAACCTCTTGCATCTAAGGTCATATTATAAAATTAATTCAAATATTGAGTAAGTTTCAAATATAAGATAATATTAATAAATTGTTATTCATGCTTAGAACTTATAGTTTTAATACATATGATACATTTTAAAAATTTCTAAATTGTAACATATGCATTAAACTAATAATTGAAGTAAAAGCATAGTTTTTAATAAATGTTTATGTATATATAATGATTGTTTTGATTATTGTAATTCGTTTTTTATTTTAAAATACCTATGTGATAGTTATTAACAATATAAATTACTGCACTGCATTAAAAAATAAATAATATTTTACTTTTACTATGTATATACATACGTCATGCATATTATATTAATATTTTATTATTACATACGTATTATCTAATTTACTTTTGTGTAAATTGACGTTTTTGAAACAAAATTTAATTTATATTAATAGTATAGGTTATATATGTATATATTAATATATATATAGTGTCATCAATATTTGCTTCTTCCGTCATACTTTTTATGTTTTATTACTCTTATCAAATTTACTTATTGTTCTTTGAATAGATTGTAAATATCTTGTAAAAATAAAAAAAAAATAAAAATATTATTATAATAGGTATTCATAAATTTTATAATTATTATATATATATTTTGTTGTAGTTGCTTTGGTGAATAAAAATGTAAAAATGATAAAAACAATGTATAATGTTTATTAAGGTTTTTTTTTTTTTTTTGCAAGACATAATATTTTATTTATTAGATATAATTAAAAAAAAAAAGTTGAAATCATGTTAAAAACATATCAGATGCATTAAATAAAACTATTTTGATCCATTTAAAAAATTGCAATAAATATTTTTCAAAATATACTTTGTTCTCATAATAGAAAAATTAGTTAATTTTACTATTGTTCTAAAATTAATTTCAATAATATAGGTTGCTCAAATTTGTTTTTACTTGAATGTAATTACATTTTGTTTTTATATTTAATATAAAACAATTAATCAAAAAATAGTATACTAAAATTAATATATTTGGTACCCAAGTATAGATACTTAATTTAAATATTATTTACTATCAAAAGATTTTCTACGGTCATATTATTTATAATAAATTACCATAATCGATCATTTTAATATTTCAGAATTGTCTCGTTATTGCAGAGGAAAAAAATAACAGCAGAATACAGATCAGTATAATTTAGTATAATAACACGATTTTAAACACTAATTTTCTTACAAAAGTCATAGAATTATTAAATAACTAAACACAAACACACTTAAGATAAAATATTATAAATATTTACTATGTTTCTTAGACAACTCTTCACTTATTCGTTTGAACAAAATGTGACCCATTTTGTAATATTAAAAGTAATAAACACATTTTTTTTTTTTGTAATTATTTTAATTCATTTTAAATGTTTTTCCTTATGTATATTTATACATTTTCAGGTTAATTTGTTTGACAGTGTTCCAATTTTATATCAGTTCCATATAACATAACAATATTTAATTCTAAGAATTATGTATTCGATAAAAAATTATTAATAATTGTTCTATACACGAACAAATCACTACCAATGAAAATAATCGGTTAACGGACAAATAAAATTATCGGTACACGTTATATTTAAACGTCTATGTATAATAAATTCAATCTTAAGTCGTGATAACATATGATTACCATTACGCGTCAACGTCGTTATGATATCATGACAGCGTGATTATTCAAATATACTAATACAAGGTCCCAATGTGCAATAAGCCTAACTAGTTTCAGTCATACAGATTCATTCACCGTCGGCACGCGCGTCGACTACGAACACGGTGCGTACCTATCGGTCGACTAACTGTTACTTGTATTGTAATTTGTAGGTGAATAAAAAATAGTATTAAATTCATAGAATAAAAGTATTGCCCGTGTTCAAATGATAATAGTAATAATAAAAAATAGTCTAGGTAAATGTATAAAAGAACTTGTGTTTTAAGTTGTAAACATCATTCCGTGTAAAACCAATCACGTTAATTGAAACGTAAGTACCTGCCTACTATTATGGATATTTTTTTCGCATAAACAAATACAAATAATTTTGAATTTAATATAACATATTCTGAGCAATTTAAAAGCATCTTTTAGTAAAAATAGTATTTTACAGCTAGATTTATTTAAGATCATAGACATAAGATATTATATCGACTATATAAACTCATACATTATGTTAAAACTAAACATGTAAGTATACTGCAATTAAATATTCAAATGTATGGAATTTATTCTTTTTAATAATATGCCTAAATCTACAGTTACAAATTTCGTAAGAAATCATAACGTCGCGTATATGTAATTAATTTTTAGAACAAATAATCATATTTAAAATTATATTATGTAGTTAAATAGTATACTGAACTTAGAATCCGCATTAATTATTAGTAGGTACGTTTTTTATTCATATAATTCTGCTTGTATGTATACCGTTTGAATGTCACTACTTTCGATATTCGTCCTCTAAAATTATGATTGAAATTTTGAATAAAAATAAAGACAATCCATGTAAAACAAATGTCGACGCATCTCAAAGTGTATTATACAAATTTACGGGTCTCACTAATGTCACGTCCATAATTTCTATTTACTATTCGTTATAAATGAAGTTATTGTTTGACTGTATACTAAAAAGCGGCACCCACACATTTCTTAGATGTCATTTGATCTTTTGGATTATGGATACTAATGGGATCTAATGGTAATACAGATCGACTTTAGTCAATTATTGTGGAATTTGAAAATAATAATAAAAACTATAGCCTGTAATTATTTTTAATTTTATCTGGTATATATCTATATTATATTATAAATAATATTTTTTACACAGATAATTTTAAATTTACATAATGAAAAATAAATATATGTATGTCAACAATAATTTAAAATCTTTGTACTTGTTTATTATGTTTATTATATAAATCATTAATATGCTATATAATATTTTTTTTATTTCATCGGTAAGTTATTTCAAGAACGTTATCTTTTAGATAATTTATTATTCATTAAGTATGCGTAGGTGTCTCCTGTATTTTGCTAGGTATAATAAAAGTGGTATACAAACAAAATGGATTACACACAAAGTAATAGCGTCTGTTTATGCTGTAATATCTTCTATATTGTGATGTAAGATAAATATTAGTTTTATGTATCAACTGCTGAACACTAAATAAAAATTTCCAAAAAATAAGAATTTTTTAATTTAATTTAAAATTATCGCAAAATTTGCATTACCTTCATCGCTTCTATAACAAAACCTAAATGTTTCTACTACAGTGTTTTTTAATGCTCAGAAACAATAGTTATTATTATAATTCAATAACAAATATATCTATGCTTAAGATATAAATCAACTTTGTTTATACAGGTTAGTTTCATTTGAATTTTATCAAAAACCGTCTGCTTAATAACTTACTTTAATTCTCTTTTTATTAGCATAAAGTACATAAATAGGATAAATCATTTATTTTAGTTTTTCAGCAACTTTATTGATTTATTTTTAATAATTTTGCGATTGCATACCTACCTTTAATTTTATATATTTCTTTAAAATCACTTAAACACACTATCACACTAACAGGTAAATACTACTATTTGTTCTAAATTTTATATTTCATTAAATACTATACGACGTCAAAAAATCAATAAACAAATAATACATTTTTTTTCACATACTTGTTAAGGTTTGGTAAGTTCTACTTAATACAGTAGTTAAATGATTAAATAATCTATGTAAATTTCTTCACGAAAAAATAGTCTACAGTTTAAGTTCCTATACAACAAAAATAAATCACTTATTTGAATTTTTATATTGATTACAGTTGCATTTTCAAATAGTTAAAATTTAAAATTTTATACTTACATCAAATATACAAGATACATTATTTTTGACCAGACACTTTAAATTTTTACAAATATTTACTTTGCATTCAAATTTATACAGTTAAATGAGACAGTTATTATACATATTATATAATTGTATCATTTCAGCACTTTAACTTTTTAATGGAATATTGAATTCAAAATATGTTTGGGAAAAAATGTATATTTTAACATTTTAAATGTAAATTAAGCCTAAACTAAAGTTTATATGAACAGTTAACTTTGGAAAGTTAAAAAATTAAATTAATAATAATAAATATCTAAATACCTATGTAGCAATAATACAATGACATGAAACATCCAGAGGCAATGTACCGTTTTTACTAGTACAGGAAACCGTAATTATAATTACAACCGGTATTCAGCGATTAATTGTCGGTCCCAACGATCGAGGCCATTTAGGTGGCACGTACCAAAGAATTATTTTGTATTTATGTTATTAGCAAACGTAAACCTACATAGTTTAATAATTACTGCATAATGCAATTCTATGCACTGTGCTTTATTCTTTAAATTGGTAATTTAATTTAGTTATTTTTGATATCATTATTTTTTACGGCGATAATAAGTTTGAAAACACGCATGTTCTTAGATTTCAAAAGTTTTATTTCAAACGTGATTGGATGTCAAACGATTATTTTATTAAACACAAAAATATTTAACGAATTGCTAGTGAACAAGGTGTTATAATAGAGAACACATTTATAAATTGATACTATAATAAAACATATCGAAAATTTTAGATTTCAATAACTACTCATACAAATATATAACGGTGTAATTGATTCATACGATTTGTACGAATCCTATACATCTTTGAATAATGATTCTGCAAAAATAAATTAATAATAAATCTATAGCAAACCAGCGTGGGTATAATAATTTGTACGAGGTTGATACTTGTTGAAACGAGTAAACGTCGAATAATCGTCTTTTATCAAGTCGGATACGAATGGTGTTAGACGATAAACCGTTAACATAATATAAGTAAATACGAATAGAAATTTATAACTATGATCGATACAATTCGGAACAGTACGCAAGATAATCTACAGCCATCTGAGTAGAAATTTCATGCATTTTCATCAGTGTTACGCAAACTACCTTAACTCTATCTACAATTTAATTCAGTAAATATGACATGTGTGTATTGAATTGCTTAATAATTAATATCTATAATAATTATAAGAGTTAATTGAATATAAAAATAGTTAAAATATATTTCAGAATAGTTAATAAAAAATGAAGCTAAATCAATTAAATCGTGAATGACTAAATTATTATATTTTCACAATTTATTTCACTAATTATTATAGCTTTTTTTTACAGTCAAATTTATTGTTTTAACAACAATAATATTATTCCATATTAATCTTTGAACAATTATTGTAAAATTAATATTCACACACGTATTAAAATATATTGGTTATAAATAACAGATATCATCTCAATAAACGTTAACCGCTGGTTAAGCATATAGTTTATGGGCCCAACACTGCAGGGTTTGGATAGAGAAAGTTAACAGCGCACATCTCACCGGTCAAATACGTAATAATATGCTTATCGTCTATTGCTCGATTACGCGGGTTTAATTATTTAAATAATTATATATGGCCGTATAATGCATTTTTTTTTTTTTTTTTGTCAAATAATTTTGAACGGTTTGCATTTTACGCGAAATCCAATAAAATATATTTTTTCGACCCCCTTTAACCACGGACGTTTTTCGTTTCTTAGACGGAATCCACAACGAACGCTGTAACACTGCCGCCGTGGTGAGCCATCTCGTATATTATTAAACGTTAAATAACTATCCACTACAACGCTTTCTTGTCAGCCCATCTCGCGCGGTTTTTTTAAACTTAAACAGCCTTAGTACAACACCGACACATCGTCGACCTATGCCCGAACGAAACATGAACTCGGACCGCACGTCTCCGCCGCCGTCGAAACTTCCGTCTCCCGCTACAAGTTCATCGGTGCAAGTCACCAACAGGGCCAAACGGCCGAACGCGTTGCAAACGTCGAATACCGGATACAAAGGTAGCGACGATCACAGAGTCGACCAAAGGGACGCCGCACTGTTGCTGTCTCCGTTGTGCGATGAGGCGCTCCTGTCTACCGACTCCGACGGAGTTGCCATCAATGTCGAATACCCTGTACAGGCCAACGGTCAGCCGGTCGTAATTCCGGTAACTAAACACAAGTACGAGGTTATAATTATTGTTATTGTTATATACACTTAGTCCATAACCCGATTAATTAATTTTTTTGTTTTGTTTTTTAACTCCGAATTCTATCGCTAATTTAACACATCGCAATGTGCACAATTTTGATTACAATAATATAATATTATTACAGGAACGCTACGAAAAAAATACCACACGTTGCGGTGGACTCCATTAAGAGCACAGATAACGTTTTCGTTTTTATTTTTAATAGCTACTAGTCTAGTATTTAAAGCAGCATAACCGCATCACACATACGAAACGTATCATTAAAATACATATATTCAGAGTGTAAATGAACTATAACCAACAAACTAACTTAAACCCAACTTCGCATCAAAATTAATATTATTGTCTTCCAATCAAAATAATAAATGTCAATTATAAATATATAATAGGAGTAATTAAACAAATTAAAATGTTAACAATAAGTTTTTATTTCCTTATAATTGTACGAGTATTAACTAATAAATAACCAGTCTCCAACTTCAACGATGTTTTGGGTCAATAATTATCATGAGAATTTCAGTTTAAAATTATCTCGATCATCTTCAATTGCCAAACATGGCGAATTAAAATCTTGAAGTGCTACAATTATTTTAAATGCGATAAAACCAGATGTGGCTTTGTAGGCACTTATGGGTCTTGTACCTATTATACATCAATTATTATTATTATTTCGTTTATTTATTTATTACTATTCTATGGCGCTAATAATGATATAATTATTAATTAGTCGTAAAGATATCTCTAGTAAATATGTAGATTGTGAAATTAATAGCTATGATAAATCTATAAAAAATGTTTTTAGAGTATAACCGTTTCAATTACAAATTATATACAAATTACAAACATCACTAACACATAATTATGATAAACATTTAAATGTTTAATAATGACGAAATAAGTAGTTTTAATTGAAGATGCATCAAAAATAATTTTCAAAATAATTAAAATAGCTACAAAAAGAAATAATTTTTTTTTTTTTTTTTTTAATAGGAACCTATTACTCTTAGACAAAAATTATTCAACTCATGAGTATCTTATATCTAATATTCAACTTTTGAGTATGAAATAATATACATTATGAAATGTTTAAATCAAATTACAATTTCTTGACATTTCGAATATAATGAATTAGTATATTTAGTATTAATTACGTATTAGTATATTATTAGAATTAGTATATTAAGTTAAAACAAAAATACAACAGTTATATAACAACAATTTCATTATTTTTATTAAATTTCCTCTATGAAGAGAATTTTTCATTTTACGAAACATGTACTATAATAGTATCAAACAAATTTATTTTAAAAATCGTATCTTGTAAAACAAAAAGTTGTAACTGTAATGATTATAAAAACTAATACTATATTAAAATTCTTTACTAACTTTTTAACTTGTTTTCGTATACCTAAAATTAAACTTTTTGTCATACCTAATTGATTTTTTTTAATATGTTTTTTTCTAAAACATATCAATACAGTTTTTATTCTTATCAGTGTTTAAATTTATTGTAAATCTAATAATTACTGACTATCATTATAGGTACAGAATTGGCATGATTATAATAATATAATTCATATTATCTGGTACAGTGTTCGTCAACACAAAAATCATAAAAGAAAAATAATACAATAATCATCCTTAAACACAGTTCAAACGTTATTATTAAATCTAATAACTTTAATTCACATAATTAAAATAATAACTAAAATGTGGCAATCGGCTTAGTAAAGTATTATTACATGCGTAAATTAAATTAGCAAAAATTTAAAAAAATATATAAAAGAAGTATAAACACAGATTATGAAAAAATAAATCACTATTACACCGTTCAGTTGCTAATAATTTTTAACCGGTTAAACAAACCAGATTGATTCTAACGGTACCTTAATATTTTATCTGCATAGCTAATACTATATTACTATTTTATAAGTGTAAATAATTAGACCTAATTTCATGATCTACTATAGATAGATAGATAGATAGATATTAATCCTTCAATTTTGTAATATTTTGTATCTATTTTAAGTCCATGTAAAGTGTATAATATAGTCTTTAATTCAGCACGAACAAAACATAAAATTGATAGGATTTTTTTCTCAAAAATTGTATACTTAGGAGCACTTATTACGAAACTGATAAATATAGTTAAACTATAATTAAGAACATTGTATACAATAAACAATCGTTAAAGTTTTTAAAATAAAAATCATGATATAGAATCAAATATTACATCAATATCTTATATTTAACTTAAAGTTTAAACTGTACGCCTATATATGTTTTTATACTATACTAGCCGGACGTAGGTTGTTGTGATGAAAATATTGTCTATAAAAATATTATTTTTTTTTTACTTATTTTTCTTCCAACAAATATATAATTAATAGACGTTATAATTTGTGTTTTTATTAAATCATACCTAATAGTTATATATCAAAAATGTTAACTTTTCGAAGAGTTATTTAAATATAATTATATCGGTTTTTTTAGCCCTTAAAATTAATCTTACTATATTTAAAACCAACATTTTATAAGTTTTATTTAGTTTAATATAAATATTAAACAATAATTAAACAGTGATATTTAAAAATATTAATATGTATGATATTTTAATTTAAGCTATCTATGCTATTAATTATTAATTTATTAACCAATGAGATCATAGTAATATATCTCTTATTATTTTGTTACGACCACAGACATTAGTCTGTCCTACTATATTAAGAACATTGTTAGTTTGCACTAGACACCTATGATGAATAGTTTGTTGTATTTACAATACTCTTGACGAAATAAGTAACGCAAGCAAGTTATGTGCGATATTATTTTAGAGACAAACAACTGTGATAATCATAACGAGTATGATCGATATTCCAAAATGTAGATACAGTGAAACTTCCACTTTGACAAAACTACATGGATAAAAAAAAAATATTTACCATGAAGAAATTCGTTAAATATAATTAAATTAATTTGTTTTTAAATTGTTTTGTTTTACAGAAAATTTCATTAAATGGAAGTTTCACTGAATCATAAGCAATGATATTAAGTTTATAGATGCGGCTTTTTATAAAAATATTTAAGGCAACACAACTGATACGTTATTAAGCAAAATTATTGCACTTTCTTTCATTTTTGTGTTAATATCAATTTTTTATGGTTCAGAAGTTTCTGTGTGATTAAAAACTATCGTTTATCTCTCTATTATACATACCTAAGATCGTAAACGTTAAATGAAGATACGATTACAATATTATTAAATTTAATATTAATAATTATTATAATAACATTTTTACCTGCCAATTAAATTACAATTATTTAAAACCGTCTGAAATCCTGACATTGTTTTAGTACGAGAAAGTCGCATTTGACGTCACCATCGATCTACCGGAAGGCCAAACGAAGAGCGCTGTTCAAAAATGGCGAATGTAATATCGTCCTGGAAAACGTATCGAAACTTCGGCGGCGCTACTTGCAGGACCTGTTCACCACACTGGTGGACGCGCGATGGCGATGGACTCTGTGCGTGTTTGTCATGAGTTTTCTACTTAGTTGGCTCGCTTTCGGAATAATTTGGTACTTGATCGCCTTCACTCATGGTGATCTGTCGCCCGAAAACATCGACAACCCGGTATGGTCGCCATGCGTGATCAACATGAAAACGTTCATGGCCAGCTTCTTGTTCAGCGTGGAGACGCAGCACACCACGGGGTATGGTTACCGAATGGTCACAGAAGAATGCCACGAAGCTATTGTGTTTTTCTGCTTCCAAAGTATCGCCGGTTTAATGATCCAAGTATGTTCAATAAACAATTCGTTCAGTGTACTAAATTATCATATACTGTTTTGATTTTTTTACAAAGCTATTTAGTTATATGATATTGTTGTTATTTATGTAAAGTGGTTAACATAAAAAGATTTAAATTTGGGTAAACTTAATATTCGGCCCGAAATATCAATTGTATTTAGATTAAATCAACCAAACTTTGTAATGGCCTAAATCCGTAGGCTCAATGCTATTTCAAAAATCATTTTTTCAAGAGAAAAATCTTAAACTTAAAACTGTTATACTTCTTACGAAATGAATTTCAATGATTTTCAAACGTAAAAATTTAAAAAAATGCTTAGATTTTTAAATTTAGATTTGTTCTAAACAAAGCAATAATGAAAACAATTTCGGTTAAGAATAAATCTTTTTGTTATAAATGTATTTTTCTCTCTCTTATTTAGTTCTATTTTGTTCCGGATTAAATGCATATTTCTCAAGAAACAAAATGCGGTAAAAATAAAAGAATGTGTTAAATGATATTATAATTAAAATAATAATAATATGAAGGTGGTATTATTATATACATCATTTTTATTTCTTAAATAAATTTACAATAAATAATATCATTGTACTACCGTATTATTATTGTATGATTGACAAAATTAATAATACGAACACTTTTTATTATCACTAATTATACTTATTTTAGTACGAAGATATAACTTAATGGCTTTAATAATATAATTAAGAACCAAAAGGTTCTATTTGGATCATTACTGAATAATATATTTGTAAGTTGTATTGATTGACTCTAAATATTTAAAGATAATATAGAACAATCTCAAATAATTATTTCATTTTTTTTAATTACTGCCTAGGTCACTCATACAGTGTTTGTGTATCTTATAAATCGTTTTTAAACAACATTTTGTTTGTTGATCGTTCAACTTAGTTACAACATATGTAATCATCTACTGAGTTATTAAATGAAGAAATATCTATTATTTTTTTTTTAAATTTAAAATAATAAGGTAAATGTAAACTAAGTTTTATAACACCTTTGAACAAAAAAATATCAAATGCATATTTAATTTTAACATCGTATGGTTATAAGGTTTAATATTATTTTAACTTAGTATGCTATTTTTAAAATAAGCTGAAAACATCTAGAGCAGCGGTTCTCAAACTTTTTATTTCGCGTACCACTTAAGTATATTATCAATCAGTCGCGTACCACTGAAGATTAAAAATCCTACCACCATGCGGCCTTCCGCAATTCCGCGTACCATCATGTAGTCTTTCGCGTACCACTAGTGGTACGCGTACCACAGTTTGAGAACCGCTGATCTAGAGCATTACAATAGATCATTAAACTATAGTTAATGTATTAAGTTCATAAGACAATTTAGTTAAATTATAAAGTTTAAATAAAATTAACTTTTAACTAATCAATGACTGTCATTTATTATGCTATGATACAAAAATATACCACATTTAAAAATTTAAATAAGTTTTCAATTTACATCTAAGACGGTCGGCCTTATAATATAATTATATTAATTTATGTAATTAGATGGTGAAATTATGAGAAGATGGTGTTTTGTATCAACTTTTAAGTATAACCATAAAATGTTTTACGTCTTTATCATTGATCATTTTATACAGTTCTGCTGACAAAAAAACATATCGGTATTTTAATGGTATATTTTTAGGCGTTTATGGTGGGTATCGTATTCTCGAAGATGTCACGACCAAAACAACGCAGCCAAACGATCATGTTCAGCAAGAACGCGGTAATATGCCGAAGGGACGGGCAATTGTGTTTCATGTTCCGTGTTGGTGACATGAGGGAAAAGTCACATCTAATTGGGACCACAATCCAGACTAGACTCATACGATCTCGAGTGACACCAGAAGGAGAAACATTATCGCCGCATGTGACGTGTTTAAAAGTGAGCAAATAAAAATAAACCTTTTACAAGTAAACTTTTATAAAAATAATCTTATATATAAAACTGTTTTAATTTGAACATGCATAGCAGCACAAATTTACTTCGTTTTTAGTATAACACTAAAATCTCGTTTAAAATTACTAAAAAATGTAATTTTATACGTTGCTAAGTAGCTGATAAATGTTAAGTGTATTTTATGGCATTTGTTTCAGTAGACTTTTCTAGTTAAATATTCACCGTATTATGTCTGTTGTAAAGGTACTTCTTTTAAGTTTTACAATTATTTATATTAATAATGATTGCGGGCTAATTTTTATGTTACATTAGTATGTATAAAATAGGAGATATAGAATTTAAAATATTAACAACTAGGAATGCAATACATAGATTTCCTTTTTTTCTAATATTTAAATGGCAAGTTATTGCTTTTTATCATTTTTTTAACACTATTAAACAAATAATTACAAAAAATTTATAAAAAAAAAAAAGAAAAAAAACAATGAATTTAATAATTCACTAATTTTATAACATGTAATATTTTATTAAATATCAAATTTTTACTTATAAAATAGCAAAAATAAATGTAAATAATTATTATACCAAACTACATTTAACTATACTTGTCGTTCTTTTAATTTTTCATATATTTCTCAATTATATTCTATATTTTAGATATAATAGGTATGTGTATCTATAACAACTTTACTATAAAATTCCTTAATTTTTTTAAAAAAAAAATAACATTCTAGAATATACCTTATAATTACTAAAAAATTTTTGTAAATAGTATACATTAAAATTCATATTTTACGAAATAATAGTTATATTTTACTGACGTTTTGGTCCACTTTCAATATCGACAATATCAAAAATATTAGATTTATCAGCAGTTACGATATTTATTTCAATATTAATTATATGCGAATTGTTGAAACAAAAGTATTATTGATTATACGTCTATACAATAATATATTAAGAATTGGTTACAAGTAACTTCTATACCACAGTTTATAACATTATAGTGTGGCTAACTAGTAACTACAATGTTATCAATAATACAATACAGACGAGACACAAATATCTTGTATAAATAAAAAAAATTAGAATTCTGAATTATTGAAAAATATTTTGATATCATTAAAACATTTATCATTAACAAAATATTTTGTTTTCAGATAAGTATAGACGACGATGACGAACGTGTATTTCTAATGTGGCCAACCATAGCCGTACATGTGATCGATCAGGACAGTCCGCTGTACGGAATGAGCGCGGCGGATCTATTAAATGAAAAATTTGAAGTGATCGTAATCCTGGAAGGCACCACTGAGTCGACGGGGCAGACTACGCAAGCACGGACATCGTATTTATCATCAGAAGTTCTATGGGGACACAGGTTTCGACCGTTGGTCAAATATTGCAAGACGAAATTGATGTATGAAGTAGACTACTCGCAGTTCCACGATGTGTGCAATGTTGATACACCACTGTGTAGTGCCAAAGATCTTGAAACATACTTAATGATCAACGAACCGAAAATTACATAATTTATTGTGTATTAATAAAACCCAAAAATACACATTTTTTTGAATTCCAATTATTGTTTATTTTTATGGTTATAAAATCTTACTTTGTTAGTTAAATTTAAACAACACAATTTGCACGAGTTTTTTTTATATATATATTATTGTACATACAATAATACAATTCTTATAATTTATAAATCATGACTTTTATGCAACATATCTTTATAGCGAGAATCGTGTTTTAATTATTTAGCCAAACACTTACTTCAAAAAAACCATTTCAGTTCTTAAAAATGATCACCTACATAATAATATTTGTATATTAAATATTATATTGTGTTAATTTATAGTAATAATAACATTTTAAACTTAAACTATTTAAAGCCATTGAAAACTTGATAACAATATACATGAATATATCTGCAAAATTTAAAAAAGCTCAAAATGGCAAAGAGTCCTTATGATAACATATTATACTATTTTTAACGTACCTACCATATACACTTAAATTATTCTTACTACTTAAAATTTTTAACTTTGTACAGTATTGTAACTTGTAACTGATAATGGAAAGAGTGTCTTTGTAGTCAATATCTCTAACCTCTAAAATAGTACCTCAAAAACAATATCAATTAAATTCACATAAAAATTTCTCATTTTTGTTACCAAAAAAACAACCTTTAAATTTAATAATAATTAAACAAAAAAATAATTATAGAGTAAAGCTAGAATTTTGATGAATTTCGCATTTTTTAATTTCTTTAAGTGCTATACCGTTCTAACCAAAAACTAAATTTGTATATAACAATTTAAAATATGTTATTATTTTTCTATTTTATAATACAATCATATTATTATTTTAATCATATCTAAGTAGATAAGCAAGTCATAGTTATTTGTCATTTTATATACCATTTTTAGATCTTGATCTGATCAAGTTTCGGCATTAAACATTATTAACTATTTCTTTTATACAACTTTAAAATAATCAATTATCATTAATTGCTGACACAATATCATAATCGATCAATTAATAATAATTATTAAAATTAAACCTATCAATTTTTTTTTTTTGATAAAATTGATAGCTATTTTCTATTTTGGAGTCATTTATGACAATGTTTAATACGTCTTCATATATCAAATTTTTTGTATATGAACTATTTTGAATTTCAAAATAAATTTTACAATAATTATCCCTTTTTATTTACACTCAAACTTTCATAATAAGTATAATAATTCATAGCCAAATGTATTTATGGTGATATGAAGAATGATTTATTTAAAATAAATGAAAATATACAACTCACCAATATTTCTTAAAATATTAGAATAAATATCAAATTATAATACTCATGACATGGAAAAAATGTTGTATACAATTATAATTACTGGATATTATTATTAATTACATGTGAATAAATTGCCAGATTCCGACAAATTTAACATAATAGGTATATCTGTGTATGGCAAACTAACATGTTTAAAAACACAAATAAACATTTTTTTTTAAATATTAATAATAAACAGACTGGAGATCCTTAAAATTGTTCTAACTTGGATGAATCAACCCGTTTATGTTCATGTCAATTTTCTAAAATTGATCTAAATATTGTATTTTAATACCATTCAAATTATTAGTATTACAAGCTTAACATTTAAAATTATTTTAATAGACCTAAAAATGCATAGTTACATAAACTTCAATAAATATACAACGATGATGCATAAATAATAATTGTACAAAATAAAGTAATAATTGTAAAATAAAAAAAAGTCCTTAGCACTAAGTTCAAACAGATATAACGTAATATTAGTTAAAATATATGCATTATTATTATAATTTTTATTTATTTTTATTATTATTATTATTTATTTATTTATTTATTTTTTTTTTTTTTTGAGCAACTTAGGTGGAATATTCTGTCAAGTATAATAATATATGAGCTTATAGAAACGTATTTATAAATTAGTTATAAGTTATTGTTTTAGGATCACACAAATTTTGAGTATTTATAAAAAATCCTATTTAAATGTACGATCTTAAAACAATAGTATGTATAATGTCCAGCCAATTTTACACAGGAAGCATTCTATATAGTAAGTAACTATATACGTCTTCAGTTTTTTAGTGAATATATATAATTTATTGGCTGGACAAAAAAAATAAACATTTTAAACTGGCTGAACCAGCTTACAATAATTTGCCTAGTAATTGTAGTGGCCGGCGTATTGTGGCTGTTGTTGTTGTTGTCCATGGTAGTAAGGTCCCGATGGATACGTATTTGGTGTCGGGTATCCAGCGTAAGCATATTGTTGTTTTTGTGGATAAACTGTAAATGAAAAATAATTATCATCCATTGGCATTTGGTACAACACGGTGCAATATGATTATCAATAGTTGTGTCATAAAAAAAAAATAAATTAATAATTCAATGTTCACGAATGTTATATTAACTAAAAATACTAAAGAGGTTGGTCAAGTTTTGTGACGTAACATGTTTGAAAAAGTTCGGCTTAATTTTTGGCCCAAGGTTGATGTGTACACGATTCATCTAATTTCATTATTATATTCATGCTACACTATTTTCTTATTAAATACCTACTTTGAATTAAGTCCTATAAGTTTTCAATTAGTTTAACAGCGCCCTTGATATTTAAAAAAATAATTGTATGCACTAGTATACTTCTTTCAAATACGTAAATATGTATTACTGAACATTTATTCTATAGTAGAATATACGAGATATCTACTTAATTCAATACTGATCATTCGATTAATACAATATTTGATAACATAATAATATGTATTATATGATTAAGATAGTTGGCACCCCTATAGTGTATATAATTAGTTATTTAATTTTATAGGATGTTAATACGTGATCACATAAAAATATATACAGCAATAAAACATGGAAAATCACATTGCCATATAAAATTATTTTAATGTCAGTGCAATATAACTTCATAAAGCCCTCATATTACTATATAGTATACTGTCTACATCTACGTTAACAAAAAACATTTTATGATTTAATGCTCTTCGGAGAATAAATGCCCAACAGCAATAAATTAGCTCCGTCGCTGGCACTTGTTAAATATATATATATATATATATATACATATTATACTAACCAGGCATTAAGTATTGCATGTTGAGAGCCTCTTCTCTTTCACGTTCGCCTCGTAGACAGATCGCAGCGCCGGAAAATAATATAGCAGATACCAAAGAAAATGCAACGCCAGTCCACGCCATGAAAAACGACCAATCATAAGATATACGAGTGTTATCCTTAAGTATCTGCACAAACACGATGACAACAATCAATAAAGTATAATGGCAATGACAATATGTTATCAATATTTAAGTGAAAAATTAAATTGCTCACTCATACTAATATACCTATAACAAATTCAATAACATAAATAATTGTTGTAGAAACACATAATTATACAAAATACAAGACAATTTACGTACTAAGCATTCTCAACCCAAAATTTTTTTTATCATTTAAAAGTTCCAATAATTAAAATTTAAATATGCCATATAGTTATTTAGTTTACTTACACTATTCCACTGCTGGTAAAACTCTTCTCCTACTACACGTTCCTTTTCGTAGTATTCCACTCCGTGCCAAAATCCCATAGCGCCAGCACTAAGTAAACCTGAAAATGAAATCACAAGTCATTTTCACAACAATTTAAAAAATATTAATTATTTTATTTTCAAAATAACTCACATGCTAATAGTACTAAAATTGCAGTGGCCGTGATATTTCCGGGTGATCTTCTCCAGCAACCCGCAACTCCGGTCCAAAAAGCGATGAACATTACAAAAAAGCTTACTATGAACAACGCAATTGTTGATCTTCCCATATCTAAATGGAAATAAGTAGATTAATTTTAAGACTTTAAGAAATTACAATAATTTATGCAATCATACGCAATCTGGTCATAGCGTCTTCAGAAAACTCATGTGTCTGATTGTCTGGATCCAAGAAGAAATAATCGACATTCATACAATGTGTTTCAACTGGACTCAAATAGGTTTCAACTGAAAACATATTAATTAATCAATTATGTAAACCATAAATATATTATTATTATAAAAAGATTATTATTTCATCTACAAACGATAATAATTTCATTTTCATACTAAATTAACATTCTTCTTCTACTATTTTTTAATTTTCAATGCATTTGTTTATTCGACAAAATAATTAATTGATTGATAAAGTAGTTTCTCATTCCATTTATTATCCATATCATCCGTACATAAAATAACGTTATTTTTCTTTCTTTAGTTTTAATATAATTTTTATATTTAGAATCTAATATTTTTTTCCAATATGGGTTAAAATCGAAAGTAAGTTAATTATTATATTTTAACAATATTCATTAAAATGAATACTTATTTTTCATTGTTTTTGATAGATATTAAAATCATAGGAATATGTTATGAACAATAAATTTATAGTAACTATTTTAGGAGTAAAAACGTACTGTAAATTTTTAATTTTTTTTATTCCTATTCATTTTACTTACCTAATAATTCAATTAATGTTTTCCTATTATACTAAACAATAATTAGTAATTCATATTTATAAATTATGCATATTATCTTAATATCTTCCAATATTTAAATCGTATACCTAATTCATTATTTTTATAAACAGGAACAAATTAAAAGATTTATTCACTTACTGGAAAAAAAAACTTAATATCAGCACATACTGAATTATTAAATAAAATATTTGCACTTGTATACAGTAACATTTTCAAAAAAAAAAAATAAATAAATGAAACTGGATGAATGATTGTTAAATTAATATTAAAGTAAGTATTAAACTATAATGTGGTTGCGTCTGTAACTATAATTTTAAAGATACCTAATAGAATCTTAAAAACTATAATAATCATTAATATTTAATAATCTACCACTTAAAAAATGAAATGAAATTAATAATAGCATTTATAATTTACCACTTCCTTACAGTAGATATGACATTGAAAAAAGTAATAATTTAAGAGTCAATTTTTCTGTGATATTAAAACAGTGCAAAATATAAATTATTCTTGTCTAGTATATAAATATTGAAATATATTATTTTTAATATTTACATGTACTGAGCAAGGTCACTAACACAATATAAGAATTTAAATAACATAATAATTTATAATATATTAGTAAATATATATCTTTTTACATATAATTTCAATGATGAGTCCATCAAAATGAGAATTAAGCTTTTAGGTAGATAATACTTATAGGAAATTATTTAAATTTAAAAGAAATTTATTTTGACATAATCAATATAATATAAAGCGTTAAAATGAAATACCCATCAAATTTATGAAAATGACTAAGCCATTTCGTAAATATTTAATCAATCTAATAATAGATAGTTAATATGTTACAATAGGTATTTTTAATTTCCAGCATTCTAATTGAGAATAATATTGAATTAATTCAATGATACGTTTTCGTTTCCATATTTATTATACATAAGAATGACGCGTGACATTAAAAAATAGACGTAATGAATCTAATGGAGAACAATAGAAATAGATATTTTTTATCAACAGTGATAAAATAAGAGTTAGAAATAAAGTGAAGTCCAGAATCACGTAATATTTTTATTTTTCATTAAATTGAGAGAAATTCTAGTCGGTATATATCTATGTTTAAAACAAAAAAATAAGCGGCGGTAGCAGTAGAAAACTTCATAGATGGTAAATATCGTCATCTATCCTAGCTATACCCATTATAAACGTCACGTCTAGGTAATTAGAATATGAAAACGAATTTACCGCAATCGTTGTGTCGTGTGATTTCATCAGATCGTTTGGTATTGGAAATAAGTACCAAGTTAACTAAAATAATGTAACGTTTGCGTGATTCGATTTTCATACAAATAGGCAATAGCCAATAGGTAGAATTAACAAAATTACTATTTTTTTAGATTATTTTTGGTCCGCACGAGAGAATAAAAACTGCGAAACAACGTTAAAACTCGCGGTCAACTTTAGACAAGAAACAACCTAACTGGTTTGATGATTTCCATCACGCATCTGAGCAATATTATTATAATATGCAATAATCATTCGAAAGCCCAACTCTGACGATTGGATAATAATATTATCATCGTTAAGCCACGATTCAGTGAACACCGCAATAATGATCATATACACTCGTTGCATATAGGACATAGGTAGAAAACGGAGATTTCGAACTAGTTGATTCGTTGTTTACACTGCGAACATTATGGTATATACTTAACATATTATTACATAATATTACACGTGTAGGACGATAATTTTATGCAATTTTCTCTCTCGGAGGACTTACAATACCGAGTATTCCTTTGACATACTTATTAATTACTATGTATTATTCTCGCCATTATCACTGCGGCATTGTATAGTCCGTTTCGCAAATGTGCCATGTGTTCACGCTGTTTTACCGTGCAGTCCGAAGCGCATCGAATATTGGACCAGTTTCAACGAGTATAATATTAGGTACCTTCTTTTAGTTTAGTTTTTATTCGTATTGAATATTACACGTTGCCACTTCTAGAGAGGTTTGATTATACGCAATCGATCTTATACGCGTGACTTCGTAGTAGTTGTGTTTATATTTTTTGATCAACCCGCGCACAATTGCAATAATTTTAAAACATCGAATTGCACAGTTTATATTAATATTACATAGATATCATTAGGTCTATTTCGGATAGCATATAATAATAATGTAATTGGTCGTTTTTCGTATTTCTCGGTAAATAAAAAATATATTATATTTTTTTGATAAGTTTTTCTCTAAACTAGTTTATGCATAAAAATTGAATATCAATATAACCTTGTTCTGGCCAAATCGAATAAGATTTGATGAAAAAAATTAGTTTTTCCGACAAAAACCTTGACCTACCACAATTTTAAATTATAATTAAAATATATTTTTAAGATATAAACTTAAAATTATATAGGTAATATTATACATGTAAATAATATATTACACACGTAATATATACAACTAATGTAGGGATCAATAATAATATACCTAATACATTATCACTTGTGTGTGATTATTATTTAAACAATTCATTGTTCATTGTTGGTTTTCATTAAATGCGTAGATTACACGTTTAAATAAGAAAAAAATTAAGTAAAACATGATTGACAAACTTGTTAATTTATTTTTAAATTATTTGGACAGCCGAAGCAACACTAAATATTATGTTTATAATAACACTTTCATTGTTTTTTTTCTTATTTTTTTTTTTCGTTTCTGACATAAAGTAAAATCTATTAATATGTTGTTTTTTTACTATAATTATCGTTATTTGTTATAGTTATAGTTATATTATTATCATTATTAACGTTTTCCCAGGCACTTTGAGAAAAAACAAAACCGTTATTAGTGCAAATTTATCCTGACAAATAGTGTGAAATCATGGAATCTCACACTGCAGCACTATGCACGATCACTTTCTATCGGCCGCTAAAACAAAAAGAGAAATATTGCATTCATAGACGATTGAAGAAAAAAATATACCTCCGCGGTAATAATAATTCTCTTATGGCTTTTTCTTTCGTCCTTTTCTCCTGAGATATACCTTTATACGCGCACACGATGTGCTACTAAACGTGACCTTGGTTGACGTCCTACAGAAGCAATTATGGGGCACAGATGAAACCGGTTACCGGTGAGCTCTATACGCACGCGTATGGAATGTGGGCAAGTCTCTGAGAACCGGTACAGGCAGCTGATGCTGAATGCGGACACTCCTAAGAATATATATACACCATATACGAGCCCCAGGATGTCGGCGGACTCCTTGCTAAAATGATCGTGATGGCCATTAGGTGTTCATGTCAATATAATATCAACTAATTAAACTATCCTTTTCTGTGAATTCTACCCAGAAAATTTACTCTTCAAACCAGCGATATTCAAACATCAACATGTATTATTGTAACTCTAGTGTTATTATTGTTGTTGTTATTATTGTCATATATTTAATAAATTTTAGCTGGTAAAAACGTGTGTATAAAAACAAAAATTTTTAATTTTTCTGAAATTTAGCGGTTAATTTTATTAGTTTGTTAACTAATTGAATTCAAAGATTTTGAATGATATAAAAGGTGTTGTGTATTATATCTAATCAAAGACACGTAATATATGTAAAAAATATTATTATTTTATTTTATAATATAAAATACATACCTATTGACATTAAGATAATAATTATAAATCATTATTCGTTGTATCAAAAAATCGTATACAACAAGATTATTATCTTAGTAATATGTATGATACAATTTTCATTAGAATAATACAAAAATGTACAATAGAAAACATAATATGATATGTAAATGTAATAATTATTATCTGAACACTTCCGTTCGATAAAATAACTTAACAATAAATTTAATTATGTTTGAAAGCTTCTGATATTACCACTATCATTGATTATAAAATAGACTATTCTATAATCAATGCTATTTAGCTGGTAAATAAAAATAACGTTTTTAGAACGTAGATATGAATGTAGAATATGTAAATATAATATGTAAATATAATATTATAAGTATATATCCAAACGGAGTTTAAAAAAAAATACATGTAATACCAAATTATTTATGCTTACATTGTTTTACAAAATTATTATTTTTTTTTTTTTTTGTAATTCTAATCATATATACGTAAATAAATTTGGATATTTTATAATCGTGTGGTTAGTTTAATAGGTAAGAACATAGTTAATATTGAGTATAACGATTTTTCAATGTAAATTTACTACTAAACAGTTTAACAGAAATTAATGGCATAGTTAATAATTTAGTTGATACAGTCAAGTATTATAATTAACTATTAGGTACTTTAAAGTACTTTACTACAATTTTATAATTTACAACTGTGAACTACCAAAAATGTTCTATGTGTTCAATGTTTTATCCACTATAACGCTTTAGTTACCTACAATGTAATGATAAGTTTAAAGTCATTAAACAAATCGATAAAAAAAAAACATTTTTTAGTAGAACATAGGT